GAGCACCTGACTAGCCTGTTTGTGATTTGGTATATAAGGCTTCCTCAAATATAAAGAGGAATTTTAACTCTGTGCTTAAAAAGAAAAAAACCAGCAAGGTTAATTCTAAAGCCATTATTAGTGAGTTACTTGTGACTTGGAAAACAATGATGTCAGTTAAAAATAATCAATTCTATGAAGAAGAAGCACTTTTTTCAGCATTCCCATTTCTGCCTGAGAATACATTCTGTCCTCGCTACTCCAAGTGGGGTCTCGAGATCCACTTGCCAGAAACGCAGGATCTCAAGACCCACATGGACCGATAGAATTTTAACATCCTCCCCTGAGGGTCCTACACACAATACAGGATGAGAAATGCTGTTCTAAACAGAAATTGCCCCAGGCTCAATCTGGGAAATCATGGAACTTCTTTTCCAGCTATACTTCACCCTCAGTGATCTCATCAGGCTATGGCTTTAAACACCATCTATGTAATGGATCCCAAATGTGTGCCACCAGCAGACTCCTCCCTGAGGCCCAGACCTGGAGGTCTAACTGCTTACTTGGCATTTTAACTTATAGTCTATTAGGTATCTCAGGATTAACGTACCTAAAACTCACTCTCCACCTCCTCCCTCCACCCCACCCCCTTCTGTCTTCCCTATCCTGGTAAACTGCACCTCTGTTCCCTAGTGCGTTCTGAGTTGGGGAGAGGTCACTCCTCAAACCAACACGGGCAGCAGTGAGGCCGCTGTTGGGTTTTGGGGCCCATGTGATTAGTGGCACCAGGGTCCCCAAAGTTCTCATTGTCCCTCAAGCTGCTCTCCATCCCTGCATCCGACTGGGTTGGCTCTTCTCTAAGGAGCTCTCTGGAAACTCAGCCGACCCCAGGTAAGCAGAGCTGGCCTGGCATACAGGAATCTGTCACAACCTGCTAGCATGGCTACCTGCTTGTCCCCCCGTGTAGTCATCTCAATTTTCTTTTTGAGTAATTACCTCCCTTCCCATTGGTTGTAAATCCAAGCCTCTCATCATACAAACCAAAGAGCCCCAAGAGGTTCCTTTTGGCTGCTCCTCCTTCTGAATGCACAGGGACTGGCCAGTGACCTACGCTTACATGACCAGTTGCTCTCATCTGCAAAACCGAATCTAGAGCAGGTGACTTAAGGATAAAGGAAAGAGAGGAAATTCATGGTGGCGGTGGCTCCTGTGGCACAGGGTTCCTTAACCCTTGGGAACTGCCATTGTTCTATTTCTAAGCATGACCCAGGCTTCCCTTTGTTCCTCTGAGCTTCTGCTTGTCTTATAAAATTCCCTTTCCCTAAGTGAAGCAGTCTGTTTCTGACTTTAAGAAGTATTCTAACCCCAATAATAGCTATCATAGTGAAGGTGGACATTTAAAAATCTTTGTATTAAATGCAAAACAGCCATATACTATCAGTCTCCTTGACTGAACAAGCAAAAACCAGGTCTGAGGACCAAGCTCACATTGATGTTGGAAGACCCAAGTGAAAGACTCCTGCACCGACTCAGGATTACCAAAGCAGATTCTCTGGGCTTTGAGGCTAAAGAGCCAGGGCTAAGGGCTTTTGGTTTGTGCCCTCTCCTAAATAACTGTGTGTCATCCCCCCCGAACCTGTATGAGTAGTGGAGAGCTGCAGAACCAGCCACCTAGATGATGCATCAAGGGCAGAATGGCACTTATGACTTGAGCACTAATCACTCAGGTCACTTCATACTCTAGTTTCCTGAGCGCTGGATCTTCCTAATGCCAAATTATGAGGTCCAGAAACTCACCTAAGTTAGAGTTGGTTATTAGACCTACTAAGAGATGGAGATCCATTATCTTCACCGGGAAGATGGAAAAATGTCTTCAGGTGTCCAGGATCATTCTCTGTAGAGCTGTGTAATTTATCACATATTTATATGTAAGGTTTGACTGGGGGACTAAAAAAATTAGCCAAGAGATTAAGGCACTAAAACAAAAACAAAAACAGCTGGCAACTGCACAGTACTTTCAAATTTATAAAGCATTTTCAAATCATAATCACATTTGGGGTTGTCAACTTCTCTAGGGTTGTTTTTCTCAACTGTAAAATGTGGGGACTGAAATACTGTTCCCTATAAAGTTCAGGAAAACAGAACCTGTCACAGAACCACTCCCTAGTAACCAGGTCCCTTGCTACTTTGATAAACCGTGACTTGGGAAGCCTGGTCTGACACTTAGGACCATAGCTCAGGGCCACCTGGGTACACATCTGAATCCCAGCTCCGCTAAATGGACTATATTACTTTGGGCAAGTCTTGAGCCTGTCTCTTCATCTCTAAAGCAGGTATGTTAGCTCACAGGGTTGTGATGAGGATGCAACAATGGCCATAAAACAATTTACAAGTGACCAAAGTGACTTCTCTCTCAATCTCGCCTCTCCCCTGGTCCCTCAGCTCAAGTCTACTCATTATCATCTTGGCTAACAATTGAGAAATCCAATCAGGACTTAAAATGCAGGTTACCCAAATACCATCATATACATGGGCAACCAAATATATCATTTAAACTGTAATATAGAAAGTTTTAGGAAGAGCCCTGCTATGGACCGAATGGTGCCTCCCCACCTCCCCCTACCCCCAAACAATTTAGAATAAACCCTGATTTTCATGTGACTATCTGGAAAAGAGACTTTAGGAGGTATTTAAGGTTAAATGACCTCATAAGGGTGGGACTCTAATCAGATAGGACTATGGCCTTAAGAGGACACAGAGCTCTTTGCGCCCTGTGAGCATGCAGTGAGAAGGCAGGCATCTGCAAAGCCAGCGAGTCCTCACCTGAACCTGACCACGATGGCATCCTCATCTCCGACTTCCAGACTCAAAACTATGAGAAAACTGGGTTTCTGTTGTTTAAGCCACCCAGCCTATGATATTTTCTTATGGCAGTCCAAGCAGACTAAGACAAGCCCTTAGCGGAATGGTTACACCCTCAGATCCAAGCCTAGAATGTTACTGGACATTTAAAAATTCCTAGGTGTATCTTAAATTCTAACTTCTGCCATTATCCAGAAATAATAGGGATGGATATTCATGCTTCTAAGCAAATAGCTGCATATTCCATTATCCTTCAGCTGAAGTTCTTCCCAACGATCACACCACTTGCAATATCCACCAGCTACTGGCAAATTCCCAGCTACAATTCAGAGCCACACTCCAGGACAACTGGAAATTAAAATCATAATTACTGTCCTCAAAATCACAATTATTTTTTCCCAAAATATATGAGTGTCATATTAAGAACTTAGTTGTGAAGGTTTTAGGAACATAAGAAAACCAGAACTTTCCTTTGTGTTGTGTGAAGAAGAGAGAAGAGAGTATTTTTGCAGGGAGAAAAGTTAATTCAAGGATAAGGAACTGAGCTGTCAGAGACAGACCAAGAGGCCACTGTAGCAACGACCTTGTCACACTCTTTACTCTTTTACGTGATGATGGTGGAGGGTGTTTCTGGAATGACAGTTTAGGACTCAAACAAATACGAGTGACCCTCTCTGTCCAGCAGTTCCAGCAGAGATTAGCAACCAAGTAAAGGTGCTGGAAATGACGGACCTACGTGTTTGTACTGAATGAGTAACATAGTAGAATACAAGGAGATGAAAGGTAGGGAATACAACCATGCCAGAATTTGGTACACACCTAAAACTCATACTTACCTTTAAAAAAATTTTCATAGAATACCACCTTTTAAAGTCCCACCTCCCCAAAGCAAAACATTCTGTAAATTTCAAGTTATAAAATAACCTATTTGTGTTTGCCATTAATGTTTCCTGTTGTGGTTAAAAACCTTCTCTCTTTTCTGTATGAGAGAATATTTATTTATCTGCCTTTGCTATAAACCAAGCTAAGCCATTATTTCTACATGTGAGCACAGTATCTTTAAACTACTGAACACCTACATGACAGACACATAAATGGTATTACCCTTAACATGAGAAACTAGGTGTGAAAACAGTCATATTGGTGCTGACAGAGCCTGTGGCTCACAGCTCTCTCCCTGGGCCTTATGTGTTGGGGTTCAGCACTCAGGTCATGACGAACCATCTCTTTTTATACCTCATCTTCATCTGCCTCTGGCACTGTGTCCAGCACTAAACTTTTTTTTTGGTTTCTTTTCAGTATATCTTCCCAGATTTTTTTTTTTTTTGTGAGAAGACTTCCTTCCGTGATCACTCCCCACTAGACCCTGATGTGGAGTTTCCCCACTGTATCTTTGTAAGTGGCAACTATATGGAAGAAGTTCAAAGACAAAAAAAGAAAACACCGTTAACAGCTCTTTGATAAGACTGCCCAGAAAGTGATCATACACTATTTATAGCAAGGGATACAAACTTATTATTCTCTTCTAAATTCTAAATCAAGTAATTACTATCAATCTCAGCCTTTAAATGCCTCACAATTCAAATTCCAATTTTTTTTTCTTATTTAACAATCAAATCACTATTTTTACAGCAAGATGTAAGTTTTTAGCAAACTCCTAATGACTTACGGTTTTTTCTTTGGGGAGGTCAGATAAATAAACATTATGATTTAAAAAATACATGACTTCCCCCTTTTACTTTCTATTTCTGTGATAGTGAGTGTTCTATGATCAGGAGCACTCACTAAAAAAGCACAAACCACAGCAGTTCTTTTTGCACACTAGACCAAATGACCGTTTACATTGGAAAAGCAAGCTACTGCTAAATAATACTCTCTAATTTTGTTGAGATTAGCTTGAAATGTTCTTGAATTGGAAGACATGCCCCTTGACAAAGCCCGTTTCCCACTTACAAGGGAGAGAAAAACCAACTTTCTCTAAAGCACTACATAGTTGAAAACAATGAAAAGGAAATTCACACAGCTATCACTCTGATATGATGCAGATAGCAAGGTAGGACTGTAAATACACAAACTGTAGTATGGAATTTAATTTTATCTTTATGAAGTAGTCTGAAATCAAAGACGATTAATAAATGCATCAGGCACATCCAACAGAAGACTTTTACAATGGTTTACATTTCCTTTTTATTTATTCTTTGAAACTGCCCATATTGCAGGTTTCCCATGGGTGAAATATGGAACTGAGCAGATTCTTTTTTCTACAAAATTATGGTATAAACTTGCTCGATTTTCTATCTTATTGCTAATAAACCTTACAGGGCGCACAGTTTGTAAAATAAACCCCTTAAGGACTGAATGCGTAGAACATGCTGCAAGGTACAAGAAATAAGCTAAAAATGAGCATATAAACCTACATCTGAACCAACACAGTACTGAATGCTGGCAAACATTTATCACGACACAGGAAAAAATTAATAAAAGGAGATACAGTTCAGTCCTGAAAGGGTTAAGTAGAAACCCTAATATATTATTGTTTCTAACCATCCATCCCACATTACAGTGCTTGAAAACAAAGTCAAAAGTCTGGCACAGAAAATTACACACATTTGTTCAGTACTCATCAGAAACACAGCTGCTGTTGAAATCAAAAGTAAGCAACTTGGTTAATAATTAAATAGCATTTTGTTTAAAAAAGGAACCCCACCCCCACCCCCAGGTAGATTACCTGGTTAAACATGACTAGTTAGTTTAGTTCAAAAACTGCATTGGAAACGTTCTATGAGGGCACAGATGGTACCAGTTTTACTTAAAAAACAAAAAATTAACCAGTTATGATTGCAAATAAGTCTGTGCTGTAAGAGTGACAAATATTTCACTAATTAATGCACATATGAAGATGCCTTTTGTCACCACAGTTTAGGAAAAGTCAGCAGCAGGTTAAATATTATACTAGTGTTCAGTTTTAAAATCTTTCAAAATAAAAAGGGCATTCTACATTTAAAGCCTTTAGCTTGCCTTCCCAATCTGTGTGATCAATTCAATGGAATAAAAACATCTTAGATCACCACTCAGATTCAATGCATATTTTTAGAAATTGCATAACAGCATAAGACACACTTCTAAAACAATTTAAAAAACCACAAACTCTAATTTATGCTATACTTTAACTGGAGGGGTCACCATTCTAAGAGAGTCTTTATATGAGGAGAAATGACCAGCAGCTCTAATATTATCACCAATGTGGAGAGGGACTGTGTTCTACTTTATCCAGAGGACAAGGCTCCTATAAGTTATACACGGAAAATGATTCACAAATCCATGAGATTTTTTTTTTAAGCAGCTGACAAAAGAACTACTAATCAACCAAAAGCTACAACAGACAAATCATTTCAGTCTTGAGTTTGTAGAATGGCATAAAATAGCAGGGGAAATGCCAGTATAAGTACATTCTTGGACTGTTCAATATAAACTAACAGGAAAAGGCTTTAGAGTCTAATACTTCAAAATTACCTTTTAATAAAGAAACAAAGAGCCAAAATAAGATGTAAACAGTAAAAAAGCAGAAGTTCATTTTAATAAAACCATAAACTTGAAAAATTATTTTGAGCAACAAAGCTGGGTAAGGAGTAGTTTTTTTTCAAAAGCATCTCCTCTGCTATCGGTAAATTTAATATAATTTCGTAATACGAACCCTGGGTAGTGGGAGAAATCTGTGGCCCATAACAAGGACGGCGGCACTAAGAAAATTCCCACACTTCAAACAAACACTGCATAAAGAGGACTCCCACAACTCCACGGAGAGAGTAAATACTACTCAGAAATAAGCTAATGCAAGAAAAAGCCAGTCAACGGTTAAAACAAAGATAAGGCCACCTTGAGTTCTGCCCTTAATCACTGAAACAGATTTAAGGTGTGAGGCAGTATTAGCTTACAAGAGAGAAGCTAGTGACTGGGAGCAGAGCTGAGGAAAGAAGGCTATACAGAGGGTAATGCAGCCTGTAGGTAATTAAAAAGGCTTGCAGTAAGAGAAAACCACAATAACTTTGACTTAGCCACTAATGTGTTTTACAAATGACTTCCCCATTGAAAACTGAGGAAAAAGTGATTTAAAGATATTAGGAATTGTACTTACAGTGACATAGTCTGAACAAAAGAATGAGTCAAACAGACAGCAATGCTGAGGGGGAAAAGCTACTAACAATGACGTTTAAAATTAAAAGTCTACAGATGGAAGCTTTGTCAGAAGAGCCCAGGACACCAGAAGAAAGACAATGTTCTGCATGGACACACTGCAGAAGTTACAGTTCTGCATTCATAAGGTACTTGTGGCTCCTGTTTAATGGGACAGTAAAAGCTTACCACAATCTAGAGGTAGTTTTTAACTCTAAGGGTGATGACTGTATTACTAGACTGTGTCCTATAACACTACACATATGATTCCTGTACTGAATTAAGCCCAATGAGTCTGCTGCAATTCTAAGAAACCGAACAAAGGCATAACCAAAGTGCAGGAATGGAAGCAACATAAACAGGTGAGCCTACCATGCAAGGCCAACACACACTCCTGAATGCAACCAAATCTTAACTGAATGGTAAAGAAATGTTTTCCAAGTAGGAGACATTTGTGCAGACACTCAGTACTAGGGAAGAGAAAACAAAAAGGAGGCAGGGAGAAAAATGGAAAGGTAAGTTACATTTGCATTTTTACAATCTCACAACTATCTGTTTCTAAAGTACTGTCTTCCAAGATATTTAAGTTGGTCATCTAATAGAGGCATCTTGTTTTAAGGTTACAATGATGGTTTGGCCTAGGCTACCAAAAAAAAAGTAAATAAAAATATGCTTTTGATGAGATTTTCCTCATTATATAATAAGGGCACCATCTACCAACTGGTAGCAAATACTTCTCATGAGATTTTTCTGTTGTTTGCCAACAACACAGAAAACACCCCGCTGAATGAAATCACTGGGAATATTCCAAGTTCAAAATAAAATGTTTAACTTACACATAATACAAGTTATGTACAAGATTAGGAGAGAGAAAAACCTGAACAAATCCTGGGACATGTAGATACACTTACAGGGGAAAAGGGGAGAGAACACTTCAAACACCAACATGTTCTGTGCCATTAACTTATTAATGACTAAATGGCCACATTTAATTACATGTAAATGTTAGAACCTCTTGGATTACCACTATAAATACATTTTTTTAAAAAAGGAAAACAGAAATAACTACCAACAATGTCTGAGAATTGAGACTAAGTTAACGTACATTGCATGTATTGCAGGCAAGGCAGAGGCATTTTTTTAAAGCTTTTGCACAGACTTCATATAATCTTAAAAAAAATACACAGGCCTTTACAAGATTTAACTTGCTGAAATCAAAACAATTTCGACTCATGAAAAGTCATAAGACATTAGCTTTAAAAAATAAAAATAAAAAGAACAGTTCCAGCTTTTGACCAAAATAACCTGGAAGAGTATGGTAATTCAATTAAACAAGTATGGTCAAGCTTGGAACCTGAATGTACTTAAGAGCAAAAGCTCAAAGGGGTGCAGGGAGAACAACCTATTTGGTAACAAAAGGTGTACTATATATTGTGGTATTAAAAAAGGTATGGTGAAAATGTACCTTTTGCTAAAGCTTATACAAGTTCCTTGGTCCATAAAAACTATGTTAGATTTGTGTCTTCTAGCTTGATTCACTTTTATTCCAGCCACATCTCTATTTCTTGCTCATTTAAATGAAACCGAACAAAAACCAACCAAAAATAACAGCTGAAAAAAAATTAATTTCCGATAGTTTGTACATTTTGATGTTTTTTGTTTTACGGTGGCTTCTGCACTTCAAAATCAGCACTTGCAGGTAATGGGGTTTCTGAATAGTATCACCTGGTATGAAAAGTTTTCCCAAGAAACCACAAAAGATTGTTCACTTTTTTCTTTCTTTTTTTTGTCAACATTTTGCCGCATTCAAGTCAGCTTAAGTCCTAGCAAAAAGACAGTAGTTAGGACACCACTGTTGCTGTGGATGATGTGACACTGGTTGAATTTGTGCTGACATTTGTGTAACTTCCCTCGCTGTTTGTGTTTGATTCACTGGGGGGCACTTGGCTTGAATTGGCTCGAAGGATTGCTCCCGCCGCGCTGCAATGTGGCCGCGGCCCTGGTTCTGGTGTGTAGGTAAAGGTAAGGCTGGTGGAATAAATGATTCCATCGTTACGGACCAAAGTTACTGGAACCTGGACTGGTTGCCGGACCCATCTCCAACCTTCTCGGAATGCAGAAATGTCTGGGACAACACAGAGCATACTCTCTCCACATCTGGGGAGGAAATATGAATCACTTAAAAGCACGGCAAATTTCAGAAGAGAAACTGGAAACAAGGTTGCTTAATACATTACAATCAACATCAGGAAAGAATCTCATGTACCCGCACCCCACAAAAATTCTGGATGATTTTAAAAGTTTTATTAAGTACCTGTACATAGTTTCAGCTTCTACATCCCCAAACCACACTCGTAAATTTGGAGTGAAATTCTGTCCTGTAAGTTCAAGCATTGCTACGTCCCCACCGCCATTCAACTGCAATTCACAGAAAATCAGAACAATGTTGAGAAAACTTTTCATTTTTCATTCAAGTATGCAGATTTGTTTCTCATCTGACTATCATTTATGAAAAATGGGTAATTAAAGTGCTTCTTTTAGATGACATGATTATAAGGGTAAAATGAGCTAAAAACATCTCAAATAACATACAAGTTCATTTAAATTTAAATTTTCTTGTATAAAAGTATGCTCCTCTTATTTTTGTTTTGTTTTTTTAATCAACAGAGAATATATAACAAATTCCTCAAATAACAAGATTTGGAGAAAAGTCAAATTTACCGTGAAATAAAGTTATGCCAAGTCATTGCTGAGGGCAGTCGCAAAGAGCTAATAGTCAGCTTGTGAGTAAGTGATCTCACCTGGAGACTTTCTACAACAGGCACAGGTGTGACTGGGGCAAGGACAGGGCCCATCCCCTCGTAAAATGTATACTCTGCCTTATCCGTACTAATGATTGTCCAGGAAGCTCCATCATTTATCATCTCTTTATTTGGTTCTTTTGGGCATGGAGTGGCCTTATGAGGAAAGAATGTTTAGAAATATTGTTTTATATGTTTTAAACACTGCAGTATCAGACAATTTTAACAAAGTAACATGCATAGAGTAAACTTTCCAAGCACAGTGCTTTACTAATCCCTGAATAAACACGGACAGAATATTAATATGGAAACCTCACGTTCAGCAACTTTTATAATGCAAATTATTTGTTACATATTAATAATACCTTTCAAAATAGCTATTTAAGAGCAAACCAGTACCTGTAGTAATTTAATAAAAGATTAGTATCTGTGATTTAATAGTTACTTAAAACACTTTAGGAATCCCTAAAAAAGAAAATGGGAGCCCCTCATGCTTAGGAATTACGTACTCTCATAAGGAGGTAAACAAGATGTCACCTAGCAATCCTGTCCTCCCGTCTAAAGCACCCAGACTAGTCCATCAGTTCTAGGCTGAGAACAGTTGTGTGTGGCCGTCTCTCTGGAATGGGTCTCCAAATGTTTACAAATGAATTTCACCTGCAAGTATAACTACCCTATTAAATCATCTGCCTATGTCATAAATGTCCTCATGAAAGCCTTCTGAGTAAAGGTAGGTAATAGTTAGCTTTTGAAACATGACATCACTGCTATCTTAGAAGACCCCCATGTAAATCTGATGAGAATTATTAACCCTCCCTGGAAATATGTATGTACCTATACATGGCGTCTGCACACAATTTCAGGAGATTCCTTGAATACCCCAAATCTACTTTTTGATAATCTAAGGGACTTTCTATTCCCTAAAATTAGATGTTAACTCCATCTCCAACAACATTTTCATAGTTCTGAGTTCCTCCTTAAGGTAGGATGACCACCATGTTTGAGTACCATGTAGATTAAGGACCACTGGAGTGAAGGTAAATATTGGAACACAGCTTCATGTATTTGGGATACAATTAACAGTAAGTGAGAGTTTTATGTTTCTGTTTGCTGCTAATCTAGTAGTGTGCACATTTTAGACTTTACCAGTAATTTAAAAATATACCTGAAACTGGATTATTCTTTCTTGAGAAAGGCACAAGTACATTCTTTCTGTATCCTTAAGGTAAAATGCACATTTATGAAGTTGTGACACGGGATCATCTGCATCCAGTAATGCAGTCTGCTTGTCAACTTTCCTAATTATCTGTAATTCGGCAATTAAAAAAGAAAAGGTCATCAACATAAGCAGAATGTTCATTATGTACACTGTTAGGAGTACACAGAAAGAATATATGATAACCCATCACAGCTGTCATATAAAAAAAATTGCAAACAATAAGGCCACTTGTTTTCTAGATTGCTGCTTTTCAAACTTTAATATGCATATAAATCATCTGGGGTTCTTATTAAAAATACATCTGTTCTGATTCCACAGATCTCATGTGCAGCCTTATATTCTGCATTTCTAATGAACTCCGAGCTGATATTAATCCTGCTCTCTATAGACCACATCTTGAGTAGCAAGTTGAGATGACCTTTCCAATACCATATAATGTCAAATATTCCAACATCAAGGGAAAACCATCTCTAAAGGCTACTGTGGGTATTCTAGTCAATGTAGTCCATTATCCAAGACTTACATACATATTTTTAAAAACTAAAATAGGTATCATTTTGAAAATTTAGGAAGCAGGCTTAGATAGGTCAAGGAAGTTGCTCAAAAACCACCTAGTTAGTAGATAAAGGAACAGAATGTGGTTCCAGGGCCAACTGCCTGCCCATCCTGAACTCTTTTCATTACACTCTATAATCCTATAATCCAAGTATTTCACAGAAAACATACAGACAGGACATCTATCAAACCTTAGATGCCACTTATCACATGGAAGGTGATCACTAAATGTTGACGATTATAATGAGGATCACTCCCTACAGCAAACACCTTAGGACTATTTTCACTACAATCAAAAGTTAAAACAAAAACAACTCTTCCTTGACTACAGGTCTCTGTCCCTCCATCACCACTGTTTCTCTACTCCCCTTAATAGCAAGCTCCTGTTCCTCACTGTTCAGTCTCCAGAATTATCTCCAACCTTTTGTCTTAAAGTCTCCACTACAATTGCTCTTGTCAGGGCGACCAAGGACCCCCAGACAGATGAATCCCATGGGCACCATAAGGCATGTTCTCATCTAATTAGCTTTCTCAGAAGCATATGACAAAGGCCTGCTCTAACTGGCCTTTAAAGTGCCTCCTGAGCCAAGTCCTCACAGCTCTTCTCCTCTCTCCATAGTCTTTCCTTTCTACACTACTTAGAGATTGGCAACTCCTAAATTTATATGTTCAGTCATATCCTCCTTCTTGCACTCAACTTATATACTTTAACTACCTATTCAACAGATTCACTTAGGATGTCTAACAGGCAATTTCAATCTTAACCAGAAACAGAATTTTTCATTTCCTCTTAAACATGATCCTCCCTCAACTCACAGCTCAATAAATGGATTGCTAACTCAATCCAAAAACCTTGAAGCCATCTTGACTCCTTGCTTTCTCTTACACCCAATCATCCAATCTGTCAACAAATTCTGTTAGGCCTACTTTCAACTATATCAGTCATGTCTCACTCACTTTACCACTATAATCCTAATCTAAGATACCATTATCAACTCTCTTGACTAAAGTCCAACCACCTATCTCTCTACTTCCACTGCTACATTCCTATGTTCTTTTCTCCACAGAGCCACCAGAATTATACTTCTCAACATAAATCACCCACCATTTCCAGTTTAAAACCCTCCAGTGACCTCCTATCACACACAGTACAAAGTCCTTAGTCTAGATACAAAGGCCTCTAAAAGACGTTGCTCATGGCTAACCCTGCAGCTTCATTTCCTACCACTTGCCCTTCCATCTCTCTCCTAGCCTCTCGCTACAATGGTTTCCTCACTAGTGCTCATACATTCCCATCTTAAGTTCTTTTTGCACTCATCTGTCCTCCTGAAAAGCTCTTCACCCCAGTCTATGGTTCTCCAACTTCATCCTAGTCTCTGCTCAAATATCCTCACTCCAGAAAGCTTCTCTAACCACTCTGAACAATACTGTCCCCCATCCCTTTTTGTCCTGGATAGTTTATCACTTACATCGCTTACTTTTAATACATTATATGGGTATTTCCTTAGCTGATTTTTGTCTATCTTCCTGCCAAAACTATAAGCTCCATGAGGACAGGAAGTCTGTTTTACTCACTAATGTACCTCCAGCATCTAGAGGTACATTAATAGTAACTACTCACAGTTTCATGAGGATTAAATCAATATGTAAAAGTGCTTAGAAAAGTGCTATTAATATTATGCAATATTATTGGCTTTTATCACTTGATTCACACCTCACTTAAAGATTTTTCCTCAACTAAGCCAGAAATGTATAAAAGTCCAGATCTTTAAAGTTAACATTCTTCATACTTACACATTTTTAGTTCTGCAGTTTATTAGTCAGAATATTTGTCATCCTACTTACACTACCACTAATTTTTATTTAATTAAAGGGTGACAGTACATTTTTAGTAATTATAGCTTCTAAGACAGTATGTGAAACTGACTGAAGTCAAGCAAAATATTTCAACTCAATGTTAAAGTCTTATAGCTATATTTAAATTTAACAAGGTTTGGATTTTAAAGAAACGTCTCATTTTTGAAAGATGTAAGTCTAAAGCTTCTATAAATCTACAGCACTCACTCATGCCTCTCCACCATATAAGAGTCAAGATTTGTGTATGGTACTGTTGTTTGTATACTCCACTATTTCCTCAATAGCTAGTAAAAATAAGCACATTGAGAACATAAGCCATGTTTGGTTCAATTTTATTCCCCACAATAGTTCTTTAGACATAGACACTAATGAATGACTAGCTCTCACCAATAAAGAAACCAAAGATATCCACTACTATTTGGCATCAAAAACTTGGTTATTTCTAATCATTAAGAAGAGGAAAGAAATCTGAGAAACCAGGTAAATTCACATGTTACATCTTAAGCTATGCATGTGGTGAACTCTCATTCATAAAGCATCAGGGTTACTCCAATCAGCGCTCTCTCTCTCTCTCTGCTGGCTTTGCAGACTGTGGCACAGTATTTACCATATTTTTTAGGTAAACTGGATACAGCTCGTAAGGGCAGAAAATATGTTGGCTGAGTTTTTCTCACTGATTAGTTTATCTAACAGATCTTTGCTGCCCCCAATCTGCTGGAATATCTGACATCCTTGAAGACATGGGACAAGCTGCTGACTGATGTTTCTTGTTAGTTGGCTACATCTACATTTACTGTTCTTGTTCGGAGATCACCCTAAGCAGGACTTCTCAGTAGGACTTTCATTCCACTGATGCTTGGCCTTGGATGGACAGTGTTTTTCCAAGCAAAGATCTCCAATAAGGCTGATACTCAAGCAAGCATTAGAGGCAACTTTCAGATATTAAGGCAATATTATCTTTCTTAAAAGTATATGAAGCTGTAGAATGCTTCCTCTGACAAAGCGTGCCTTCAATAAAAACTTCATGTAAATGGAGTGGCAGGAAGTAGTGCAATCTAAAGCCTATCTGCGACTTTGAGGGACCTAATTCCAGTCACAGAACCTCTATAATAAAAACATTATTTATCAATATGTTGATGGTACTGCAACTATTCCTAAGGCATTCCTCAAGGTCAGTTTATTGCGACATTTTTATAATCAGGGCCACACAGTTAAATATTCAATTAAAAATGACTTTTAAGCAAAGCAGACTACTGTACTGGTTATTTATGTGAAACAGTAAGTGAAAACAGTTTTAATCTTTAAGTCTGTCTTCTAAATGGTCCATATATAAGCTGTTGCTGATCAAAGGCCTAAGCTTCTGAATTGTGCTTCTGTAGTACAAGCATTTAATGATAAAGCAAGTAACACACTGAATAAGAGAAGAACTCAAGTAAATGATGATTTGGTTTTGTCTTTCTTTTCATTTTACACACTTTTTCCCCCAACTCTTACCCTTTTTATTAAAATTCATCTTAGTTTCAAGACAAATTTATTAATATTTACAAATTAACATTATTACACTTCACATATTTTAGCTTATTAGGTTGAAATGGAAAACAGTCACCTCATACAACCACAACAGAAAAATATAAAACAAAACTAGAAAGAAAGGATGCATTTACTTAGGCAATTATGTATCAACTCAGCCTCTACTGAACAGTCCCAGAAAATATAAGCAATTGAAATGCTTCACAAAGACATAAATATAAAGCATATTCGGAAAGAGTAATACTAAATGTTATTTTATTTGCCCAACCCCAGTGAACCTCGGCTTGAATCAAACTTACTAATAAATTCCTTCCATCTTTAATATAACTGAATTGCATTCTGTTTGAGAAAAGGAGTGCAGGAATGGGGAGAATAAGGAGCTTTTGTTTTCATTTTGCTAAGAAAAGCAGTTTTTACAGTTTCACGATCATTCTAGTGAACAAAAAACCTTAAATGCTATGCCTCTCTACCAGATTAGGAAATACCAATTTCATTTAACTTTTAATAAATGTATCTTCTCATGGGAGAGTAAACTAATAAAAATTATGCTCATACTTTTAGAGAAACAAGACTATGCTTCTGAAAATGGACCTGTGTTAGAATGCAGCAGGTAACACAAAAAATGAATACAGTGTATCTCCATTAGGTAAAATACATCATAATGTAATTTTATAGTGCCCTCTACTGAACCTGTCCCAACATATGACCAAAAAGGAAAAATGCCAAACTTTATTAGAAATAGTATGATAGGAAGTTATTAAGAATATGCTCATTAAAAGGGGCTGAGGTATTTTTAAAATAAGGTGGGGTATAACTGCCAATTATAAATAGCAGGGATTATTGTTCTTTTTAAATTAAAAGCATGAAATTGTGTACATTTACATTGGAATGTTGTGACTTTTTTGTTTAATTCTCACTATATATATCACACTAAGCAAAAGCTAGGCCTTACCAGTCTTGGGAGTGCCATGCCAGTAACTGAACACACAAGTTTGACTGTTTGTCCATAATGGATGTAGCCATCGCGGACGGTGAATTCTTCTCCTTCTGATTCATCATCATCCACTGCAGCAGAGTGGAAAAGAAGATCAAATTACTACCTTTTAGAATTCAGTAATCTGCTCAGGAAAACGATAAAACAACGCATCTGTATGTCTTTTTATCAAAAAGAATTTGACAATTTCACACTAAAAACATCAAATACATATTCTTATACTCACAGAGATGAATGTAAAAAGCTCCCCACTGCTGAGAACTGGCATGGAAATTTCCTCCTTCTACATGCAAGTATCTGGTGCTAACTGTCTGCGATCGAAGTCGATTAAACAGAGCCACCTTTGTTCCTGAGGCAATGCATACTGAAAGAAAAAAACAGCTTCTATTTATGTGATGCGGGGGATGGCAGTAAGAGAGGAGCAGAGAGCATCAAGGGACTTGTACATGGCAAGTTACGATTACTCTTTATTATAATTTAACAACAGACTCTCCTAACAATCTTTTTACCCCTCTAAGAAAATACAGATGAATAGCCTTAAAAAAAGTTAAGGTAACTCTCATTAAAAATGCCAAGCTAAAGATATAAAATATGTTCATAAAAATAGTTTTTAAATGAAAGCTATACAGTGTATTTAATGCAAAGCTGTTGAAGGTTATTTTAAAAATGTCTAAGAGTAAAAAAATCAGTTAAATAAATTACAGCATTCACGTATTTAAATAAGATGTATCTAAATGCACTGATGAGAAGACATTTCCATAGAAGACCACTGAATGAAAATGCAGACCAAGAAACACCATATGCTATGGTTCCATTAGGTAAATACACACATTTTTATGAGATTTTATGTATCTCCTTGTGCTCATCTAATCCTATAGAATACATTTATATAGAAGGGTCTAGAAGTTGATGGCAACTGCCTCTGGATATTGTGATTTTAAAGATTTTGATTTCTTCTAAATACCTTAAAGTGCAGCATTGCATGAAATTTTTTGAAAAGACATCTATGCAATCAGGAAAATATTCTGACAGTGAAGTATGTTCTGTGCCATCAAGAAACTTAGTCAAAAGAAATGCAAAATTGAAGAGGTTAAATAAAATCCTGTAATTATAATTAGAAATAACCTGAATACATGGCATTATATAACTAATAGAAGAACACTCCACTACTAAAAAGTTGTAAGCCTTGCCCTCCAGCAACAAGACAAACAAAGAACAAACATAAATCTGAACAAGGACAAATTCTCTCCATGATCAAACTTTAGACAAGCTTCTCTGAGCCCTTTTTTTGACTAGACCTCTTTCTTGCACCCTGTCATTGGCCTGTTATTCCAGTTACTCCAAGATTCCTGCTAGGTCATCCTCTCACCTTTGATATCTTGATTATTTTCCTCACCCTCCACCCTTTATATCTGATCATCTAGGCCTGCCTTTTAGTAAGAATCCCATTAAGTTGGCTTACCAAGAATCCCCCTACCCTTGATGTCTCCTTAGAAATTTTCCATCCCCTAACACCCCCTCACTCTGTCCCTTGGCTATAAATCTCCATTTGTCCTTGTTGTATTTGAATTATGCTCAGTTCTATGTTGAAGTCTCTTTTCTCTATTGCACTAGTACTGAATAAAATCTGTCTGTAGTGTCTGGCTGTTTTTCCTTGATACTATCAATTTACAAAAATACATTAAACTATAATAAAGAAAGGAAATGAGCAAAATTCAGTATGTGAAAATCTCTCATTGCCAAATGCCTCAAATCTTTTGAATAAATTACAAGGGACAGAGAGAGAGAGAGAAGAATCCAAATACAGAAAACACTCAAAAACATATCAACACAATATATGTTATACTATCTAGGGAACCTTATTTGAATTGACTCAAACAAAGGGCTAAAACAATAGATAATTTTAAATTTGAACACTGACTAGATAGTTGATGATAATAAGAAACTGTTGCTTCTTATAATGGTTTTATAACATGCTTGCTTTTCTGTAATCATGCTATTGTGATTACATTAAAAACCAAGAGACCCTATCCTTCAGATACACAGAAATAGTTACAGATATGTGATGCCTTGGATTTGCATAATATTTAAATGAGGACAGGGGAAAGTGTGGGTGGGTAGAGATATACAGAGAGAAAATAAATTAATATTAGCCTGAAGTTAAGATCATTGTTGAAGTTAGAGAATGACCACAAGAGGTTTCATTTTATTATGCAACTCTGTCTACTTTAATTCCCATACTATAAATGATGATAATAGTAATAAGGGGAATAAAAACCATCTAATACATAAAAAACCTATTATGTTCATCATAAAATAGAATGAAACAAAAGCAAGTAAACAAAACAAAAATCCTAAAACCTCACTGGTTTTCAAAGAGTACTATTGTTATTCTGCAAATCAGTAAACAAGCATTTATTCTGTCTTTTCTCAACAGACTACATTCGAAGCAAACAGATAACAAATGCAGAAGTTAAGAATAAAAGAAGGGAATCACGGGAAGATGGCAGCATAAGCAGTTCAGAGGAAATCTCCTCCCCAAAACATATATTTCTGAAAATACAATAAATACAACTATTCCTAAAAGAGACACCAATGGATGCAGTACAACAGCCAGGAAACATCTACATCTATGAGAACTCAACATCACATGAAGAGGGTAGGATACAAGCCACGGCCAGGCGGGACCCGAAAGCTCCCCCACCCCAGAACCCAGTGGGAAGAAAGGAGTCAGAACAGAGAGGGAGTGAAAGCCCAGGACTCCTAAACAACCAGCTCTAGAAATACGCACCCAAAGTGCAGACACAAGGTGCACGGGGTGCTGGATATTAGAGAAACGGAAAAGCAAAACCTGTGGGCAAAACCCGTGAGACAAAAGAAAAGCGGGTGCTTTCTGCAACTCTTAAGGAGACAGGGACCGCACAGCTGGACAAAGTCGTTCCGGGACACTTAGCCAGCAGCTGGGAATCCTGGGGAACCTTAGGCGCCCTAAACCCCAGGGAGATAGCGGAGCTCTGAAGACCCTCATGGCACTAAGCAGCCTGCCAGTCGTTCCTGCAACTGCCGCGGACCCCGACATACTAGCCCAGTAGTGGGAGAGTGGCAGTGCATGCAGGGGGTGGCGCCAGAAGGGATCAGGAGCAGACTGCGTGCACCAATGGCACCAGAGGGAACCAGGGGAGGCATGTGTGAGCCCGCAGTGGCGGCGACTGAACAGCCTGGGTGCGGCTCACATGCAGCGGAGCCAGAGGGGCAAGGCATGCTCCCAGAAACCGACCAGAATCCCAGCCCAACGCACAGCTGCCTGGGTCAGACCCAAACGCTAGCACGCAGCTGCCCGGCAAGGGCACTGCTATCACGGAGGAGCGCACCTGGCATGCCTGCCACTCCCAGGAGGGCTCTGATGGAGACCCCGCCCACAGCAGCTTAGGGAACTAACCCAGTGGCTGCTCCAGGAGTGCGGGTAACCGACACAGGCAGCGAAGAAGGGCAAGGCATCCAACAAGCAGGAATGGACTTTCTTCTCCCAGCTGACACACCTGCAACCTGCCTACAGCCACCGCTATCACCATGAAAATGCAAAAAAATTTAGTCCAGTCCAAGACAGTTCAGATAACACCTGACAGAGGAGCTGAAGAGACAGACCTAACCAGTTTCTCTGAAAAAGAATTCAAAATAAAAATCATAAACATGTGACAGAGCTGCAGAGAAATATGCAAGAGCTAAGGGATGAAGTCCAGAGGGAGATTACAGACATCTGGAGGGAAATTACAGAAGTGAAACAAACTCTGGAAGGATTTATAAGCAGGATGGATAAGATGCAAGAGGCCATTGATGGAAAAGAAACCAGAGAACAGGAACATATAGAAGCTGACGCAGAGAGAGATAAAAGGAGCTCCAGGAATGAAACAATATTAAGAGAACTGTGTGACCAATCGAAAAGGAACAATATCCGCTTGATGGGGGTACTGGAAGAAGAGAGAGAAAAAGGGATAGAAAGTATTTTTGAAGAAATAATTAATGAGAACTTCCCCAAACTGGGGGAGGAAATAGTTGTTCAGACTATGGAGGCACACAGAACTCTGGAGAGATGGGGGCCAAAGAGGACAACACCAAGACACATAATAATTAAAATGGCAAAGATCAAGGACAAGGACAGAGTATTAAAGGCAGCCAGAGAGAGAAAAAAGGTCACCTACAAAGGAAAACCCATCAGGCTATCAATTGATATCTTGATTATTTTCCTCACCCTCCACCCTTTATATCTGATCATCTAGGCCTGCCTTTTAGTAAGAATCCCATTAAGTTGGCTTACCAAGAATCCCCCTACCCTTGATGTCTCCTTAGAAATTTTCCATCCCCTAACACCCCCTCACTCTGTACCTTGGCTATAAATCTCCATTTGTCCTTGTTGTATTTGAATTATGCTCAGTTCTATGTTGAAGTCTCTTTTCTCTATTGCACTAGTACTGAATAAAATCTGTCTGTAGTGTCTGGCTGTTTTTCCTTGATACTATCAATTTACAAAAATACATTAAACTATAATAAAGAAAGGAAATGAGCAAAATTCAGTATGTGAAAATCTCTCATTGCCAAATGCCTCAAATCTTTTGAATAAATTACAAGGGACAGAGAGAGAGAGAGAAGAATCCAAATACAGAAAACACTCAAAAACATATCAACACAATATATGTTATACTATCTAGGGAACCTTATTTGAATTGACTCAAACAAAGGGCTAAAACAATAGATAATTTTAAATTTGAACACTGACTAGATAGTTGATGATAATAAGAAACTGTTGCTTCTTATAATGGTTTTATAACATGCTTGCTTTTCTGTAATCATGCTATTGTGATTACATTAAAAACCAAGAGACCCTATCCTTCAGATACATAGAAATAGTTACAGATATGTGATGCCTTGGATTTGCATAATATTTAAATGAGGACAGGGGAAAGTGTGGGTGGGTAGAGATATACAGAGAGAAAATAAATTAATATTAGCCTGAAGTTAAGATCATTGTTGAAGTTAGAGAATGACCACAAGAGGTTTCATTTTATTATGCAACTCTGTCTACTTTAATTCCCATACTATAAATGATGATAATAGTAATAAGGGGAATAAAAACCATCTAATACATAAAAAACCTATTATGTTCATCATAAAATAGAATGAAACAAAAGCAAGTAAACAAAACAAAAATCCTAAAACCTCACTGGTTTTCAAAGAGTACTATTGTTATTCTGCAAATCAGTAAACAAGCATTTATTCTGTCTTTTCTCAACAGACTACATTCGAAGCAAACAGATAACAAATGCAGAAGTTAAGAATAAAAGAAGGGAATCAC